CGAGATTCGGCGTTAAAACGCCTAGGAGACAAAGAGGATGGGCCCCGCAAGTCTTCCAAGCTACGTCTTGGTCCTGAGATGGGCCGGACTAGCGGAATAGAAAGACTTGGTGGGAATCGTCCTACCCAATCACGGTGTTCTAGGGAATCTGAGACGATTCACCTGGACGAGGAAGAAGCTGAAAGCCAGCCCAGGGCATCGGCGTATACCAGGCTCTCATACGATGAGGATGATCTGGACAAGATAGGGAGCGTGGCAAGAAAGCTACGTGTCCTGGAGGAAAAAGTGGAAGAGAAGGCGAGAACAAAGAAGTATACCCTGGCCAAATCTCCCTTTTCAGCCAGGGTACATGCGCAAAAACTGAGGCGGAAGATCAAGCTGGACGTGGAGAAGTTCACTGGAAAGGAGGATCCGAATGTCCACCTTGATACCTTCCACAATGCAGCACAGATGGCCGGGTGCACTGATGCTGAAGAGTGCCTGCTCTTCTTCTCATCCTTGAGAGGGAGACCGGTGGAATGGTTTAACGGCCTTCCCCATGGCAGGATTGGGTCCTTTGAGAAACTTGCCGAGGTTTTTCGCAAGAAGTACCAGGACAACTGCATAAAGAGAAAGAAGTTCACCTACCTACACACAGTAGGACAAAGGGAGAAGGAGTCCTTGACTCAATTCTTGACGCGCTGGAGGGATGAGGTCGATAAAGTAGAAGAGATAGACGATAAGACGGCCATGTCTTTGCTGATGAATGCCTTCCGGTCGGGTGACCTCTACACCGAATTTTGTAGAAGGCCACCCTCCTCTTATCAAGAAGCCTATAATACAGCATGGGAGTATGCCGAGGCGGAGGTCCTGAACAAGAGCAAGCAGGAGCTGGAGGAAAGCTATACAAAAGTGAAAGCCGAGAAGCCGAAGAAGGATGACTAGACAGGAGGGTCTAAGCCAAGGGCCACATATGACGGGTCAGTCCACCAAATTAGGGATGAGAGGAAGGGAGAACAACCTAAGCGGCCTTGGACAGAGAAGTGGTGTACCTACCACCAATCTGACTCCCATAACACGGCGGACTGCCGAAACGTTAGGGCTATGCTCAAAGAGATGATCTTGAGAGGGGAATTGGATGAAGTACTCGTTACGGGAAATCAAAGAGGATCAGGGAAATCAAAGAGGATGGACAAAATGTGGTCAAGATTACTAAGCTTGCTTTAGACGGATAAGTCTTGATGTCTAGGACCTGGACCGTTGCATGGTCTGATAACAAAAAAAAATAAAAATAAAAAAAAACCCTTAAGATAGGGGCCTTGATGTTGAGGTATTGCCTTGAGATAGGCTGGATCTGGAAGAGGATTCGCATCCATACTTACATGGATCCCTACCGACTTTTTGGTCGGGAAGGGTTAGAAAAGATGCCAAAAAAAATTACCGTCTTGTATGAGCCATCCTTTGTGGATCGGAATGTCTAGGGAAGACTAGAATTTCCGAACACATAATATATGGACGTGCAGGATTGGATGAGGGCTGGTTCTCACCGGCATACCCCCATGTGGGAAGATTAGGTTGGCTAGGTCAACCTAATGATTAAAGAATGGCACGTTAAAAGACTTAAAACCTGGAAGAGGGGCCCTGGAAGAAGGGTGTTGCCTGGAAGAGGGCTGAACCTTGGAGAGGGTTCGCGATCATAGGACATGGTCAAAATCTCCAAAGAAAGTTCGGGTCTTGATGTTGAGACTTGATGATTCCAAAACCGTTTCGGAACATTCGATCGAAGTTTGATCAAGGTCGGGGTTGAACACGACAGACAGGCCAGATGGAATACGAAAAGGGCATGGTCAAAAGTGACCGGTCACTTT